ATATCACTCAAATCAACTCAAGAAAATCATCCTACCATAGGCTTGCTCAAGTTCTACTTCTTCACTGCTAATATCACATGCATGCACAAATCAATAGGGCTTTATGCAGGGTTGTAATAGGGTTGAGGTAAAGGTATGGATGAATATGGAAGAGAAAGCTAAACACCCCAGAAATTTACAAAGAGCAAAAGTTAAGAACTAAACTAAGAACATAAAACAAAGATAATGAAAAGATAGAGAATAACACACATATTTTTTTCTTTTTGCTTTTTCTCTTCTTTTTGTTTTTTTTTTCCTTTTTTTTGTTTTGTTTTTGTTTTGTTTTTTGTTTTTTGTTTTTAAACAATAATACAGACAAAATATCCAGATGGTTACCCCCCACACTTAGACTTTGCACGTCTCGGGCAAACCCCCACACTTAAACAAAACACTATAATAAAACCAATGCTCAGTAAATCTCCAGATGTGAAATTAATTAGTTTTTCACTTAGGCTTGTAATGTGGCTAAGAAACAAGGGTTACATAAGGCACAAAAGGGCTAACCAAGGGAATACAATGTAAGGATGGCTATTTGGCTAAAGTGGGAAAGAAAAGAAAGAATGCCTCAATCATATTCATGCATGCAAGTGAAAAATGCAGTTCCAAAAAGAACAAGAGCAAGTTCTAGAGGACAACAATCAAGAGCAGAATCACACAACAAAGAAAGATTGGCCTACAGACCATGTCTACAGGCTCAAAACCTCACAAGGGTATACCAAATCATGCAATCAGCAGCACAATATCAAGTAACAAGTAATGCAATCCAAGAATCAAGAACCAAACCTAAACAGAAATTTCTATCAAACCCTGTGATTTAAGTATAAGCCATGTATAACTCACTAATCATAAGAGAGAACAAGAAAATCAATCAACTTTTTTTTTTTAAATCCAAACATGAAAAACAAAGCTAAGAAAGGAAGTGAACTCCCTGTCCTCCCTAAGGAGGGTAAACAGCATCAAGCAGCCGAAGCTTTGCATCCATCTGTGTCTCTACAAGCTGTTGTTGTGCTCCTTCATAAAAGGGCTTCAGACGATGCCCATTCACAGTGAAAGTGTTTCCTGTCTGCTTATCATTTAATTCAACTGCACCATAAGGAAAAATATCAGTAATAACAAAGGGGTCATCCCATCTTGATCTAAGTTTACCAGGCATGAACTTAAGACGGGAATTGAATAACAGCACATTCTGGCCCACTGCAAATTCTTTCCTTAGGATCTGCTTATCATGGAATGCCTTTGTCTTTTCCTTGTATATGCGTGAGCTCTCATAGGCATCCAAACGAAGCTCCTCTAACTCTTGCATTTGTAGTTTCCTTTCTCCCTCTGACTGGATTAGGTGTATGTTACACTGCTTCACAGCCCAATATGCCCGATGCTCCAGCTCCACTGGTAGGTGACATGCCTTACCATAAACAAGCCGGTAAGGGGACATCCCAATCGGAGACTTATTATAGGCAGTCCTGTATGCCCACAAAGCATTTTCCAACCTCTTGCTCCAATCCTTCCTATTACCATTGACAGTCTTCTGAAGGATTTGCTTAACCTCTCTGTTTGAAACTTCAGCTTAGCCATTTGCCTGTGGATGGTATGCTGCAGCTACCTTGTGGAGGACTCCATATTTTTTTAGTAAGGCATCCATGCTCCTATTGCAAAAATGCGAGCCCTGGTCACTGATAATAGCTCGAGGAATGCCAAACCTGCAGAAAATATGAGAACGGACAAAATCTGGTGCGTTGCAAAGTCCAAAGGGCATCCGCCTGTATGCATATGTGCCAAAGGGGCATGTGAAGGTCGTTTTCTCCTGATTCTTAGGTGCAATGTGGATCTGAAAGTAGCCTGAGTATCCATCCAGAAAACACTAGTGGGATCTACCAGCCAACCGCTCCAACATCTGATCAATAAATGGAAGAAGATAGTGGTCCTTGCGGGTTGCCTGGTTGAGCCTACGGTAGTCTATGCAGACTCTCCAACTGTTTTGAGCTCTTGTTGTAATCAGCTCATTATTCTGGTTGGCAATCACAGTGACTCCCGACTTGTTAGGGACCACCTGAACAGGACTAACCCACTGGCTATCAGAGATGGGGTAAATCATTCCAGCTTGCAAGAGTTTTGTTACTTCCTTCTTCACCACATCTAGAATCAGTGGGTTCAAACGCCTTTGGGGTTGTCTCACTGGTTTAGCTCCTTCTTCAAGTAGAATACGGTGCATGCATGTGGAAGGACTGATGCCAATAATGTCAGCCATTGTCCACCCAATTGCCCTCTTATTTGCTTTTAGCAAAGTTAACAGTTTATCCTCCTGCTCAGGTAGAAGGTTCTTTGCCACAATGACTGGTAGCTGCTCATTCTCCTCTAGGAATGCATATTTTAAGTGGTCAGGCAGAACCTTCAACTCCAATTTCGGAGGCTGCTCAATGGATGGAAGAGGTGTAGTTGGTGGTGCAAGTTCTGCAGAAAACAAGTTAGCAGCTGTGCCTATAAACAAATTCTCAGAAAAAGAATTAGGATCGTCAATAATATTAGCAGGCAATTCAGACAATGCAGATTCATCAATCAGTGCATCATTAAAACCAGAAAGATATGATGTTATTTCAGCACACACAATGCACTCTTGACTATCACCACAACCACAAAAATCAGAATCATGAGTAGATGAAAAATCAGAAAAATCAGCAATGAATTCAGCAGAAACATCCTCAACAACTTCATCTATCACATCAATGCAGAAAACAGAATGTTTTTCCCTAGGATGTTTCATGGCATCAAATATATTAAAATGCACAATGTTATCACCAAACTCCATGGAAAGAGTACCAACATGAACATCTATCTTGGTCCTAGCTATTCTCATGAAAGGCCTACCAAGTATAATTGGTGATCTATTACTAGCAGTCTCACTCTCTATTTCTAAAATGCAGAAATCAGCAGGAAAAATCATATTATTAAATCTGACCAATACATCCTCAATCAAACCAGATGGGTGAATACTACTCCTATTAGCTAATGTAACCACAATACTAGTAGCACGCAAAGGACCAAGACCAAGAGACTTATACACAGATGTAGGCATAACATTAATGGAAGCTCCTAAGTCTAGTATGCAATCATGAAAAACAGAATTGCCAATCACACAAGGAATAGTAAATGTCCCTGGATCTTGACACTTTTTAGGCATGGGCTAGATGAGTGCTGATACATTCTGACTCAGGCTAACTCGCTCATCTCCTTTCAGTCTCCTCTTATTGGTGCACAACTCCTTTAAAAACTTGGCATATCTCAGAATCTGTTGTATTGCATCCAGAAGAGGGATGTTCACCTCAACATTTCGGAAGGTGTCAAGTATCTCTTTATCTTGAGCCTTTGCTGATTGCTTCTTGGACTGAGTGGCTTTTTGAGGGAATGGCAGAGGGATATGGATATCGGATGTATCAGTGCTCTGCTTCTTGGAACTAGTGTCACCTCCCTTAGATGACTCAGCAACAGCTTGGTTTGGCTCTTCCACTTGCTTTCCAGACCGCAGAGAAATAGCACTCACATTTCTGCTTCCATTTGGATTTGGAATTATTTGAGATGGAAGGGAGCTGTCACCTGCTTGTTGATTCTGACTCACTGATGTTGCAAGTTGGCCAATCTGTGTTTGCAGATTCTAGATGAAAGACTCAATCTTCTGCTAGAACTGCAGATTGTTAGTTGCCATTTGCTTCACTAAATCCTCTAAAGAAGGATCATTGCTACTGACTTGTTGCTGCATTGGTGGCTGCTGCATTTTCTATGGAGGTGCAAATTGTTGAAAATTTTACCTCTGTTGTGAAGGTACAAACTGCTGCCTCTGCTGGAATGGTGCACTTTGCTGATTCTGCTGGAATGGTGCACTTTGTTGATTCTGGCTCCATTTGAGATTTGGATGATTTTTCCAGCCAGGATTGTATGTATTGGAGAATGGATTGTTTTGCTGCTGCTGCTGGTGGTACTTTGGCTTTCCAGGAAAAACTGCAGCAACAGACTGATCAACTTGAAAACCACTATCTTGAAAAGAAGGACAAGCATCCGTGGGGTGAGAAGGATCACAGCAGATGCCACACAGGTTGCTTATCTGTTGAGCAGAAGGTTGCACAGTCTGTGTCACTGCCAACTGCCTCACCATTGATGTCAACTCATCAAGTCTGTTCTCCATTCTCTGGTTATCTATGCTTAATGCTCCTGCTGCTGTCACTATTGGATTTTGCATTGGAGGAGCTTGCACTTGGAACACTGACTGCTGTTTGCTCTAGTGCCAAATTGTTGAGCATTAGCCGCTATCTCAGCAATCAACTCTTTTGCCTCATCAGGTGTTTTATTGCTCAGGACTCCTCCACTAGCTGCATCTAAAAGATTCCTATCCATAGGCAGCAACCCTTCATAGAAGTAAATAATCAGGAGATTGTCTGGAATCTGATGGTGTGGGCAGCTTGCACAAAGCCTTTTAAACCGCTCCCAATACTCATGCATGTTCTCCCCATTAGCCTGCCTTATGCCACTGATCTCCTTTCTGATTAAGGTGGCCCTGGATGAAGGGAAGAATTTCTCCAGAAACAATCTTGACATGTTATTCCAGCTGACAATGGAGGAAGGTGGCAAGTAGTACAGCCAGTCCTTAGCTCCGCTGTCCAAAGAGAAAGGAAAAGCACGCAGCTTGGTTTGTTCCTCATCCAACCTACGTGGTTTCATAGTGCTGCAGACTATACGAAATTCCTTCAGATGTTTGTGAGGATCCTCACCTGCAAGACCATGAAACTTAGGAAGTAAGTGTATCAGTCCAAACTTAAGCTCAAAAGGTACAACAGGATTAGCATAACGAATACACAGGGGCTGCTCATTATCAACATTAGGAGCAACCAATTGCTTAAGTGTTCTATCACCCATGATTTCAGAATCAAATAAATAACCAAACAAACAGACTCAACAGACTCAGATTCTGAGGTATGCTCAGGAACAGCTCTACTGTAAGTCAACCTACGAGCTCTACTACCAGCATGCAATGACCTCTCTATCTCAGGGTCAAATGCATATAAATCATCAACACTGGTAGTACTCCTAGTCATGCATCATAGGCAAGGGCATACAACAGTAAAATCACAAAACATACGATAGGACACAAAAATTTGCCGAAAATAGCAAACAAAAGCAAAAATAAATCTATGAAAAATACTAAATGACCTCAGAATGCTATGAGACCAACTCTCCTAAACTCTAAATGACCTTACAGACTCAAAAATCAAATAAAATTTTTTCAAAAAATAAAATAAAATAGTAAACGAATGAATTTGGCGAAACTAGGGCCTGATTCGTGGGGCAAAGCCCCATGACTTTTGACAGGGATGATCGTCTTCTTCAGGACACAAAAAACGCGAAGAACGCTTCAGAGAATTTGCTTTGATCCTCAAATTCGAAAATTACATAATGAATAAAAGTTTCCTACTCTGCGACCCAAATCGGGTTAGGGCTCAATTCTGATCGGCCCATCTGTCTATAATACGAAATAAAATAAAATAAAATAAAACTAAAAGTTGGCTTTGGGCCACTTAAGTAATTGGGTTTTAATTTAAATTACAAGTCCAATAATCAAATAAAACTTCAACAAAACGCGTCCAACTTGGCGTCAGAAATCGACCAGCTTCTAGTCCGAATTGGGCTTCGAGCTCTTCATAAGAATTGTATCCCTCTGTGTTATCTGAAAAACCCAACAAGAACGGAGTCAATCCGACAACTGTGGACCGAGATATGGACAGAATACAGAAGTAACATAAAGCTGAAAAATTCTGACGAAAATAAATTAAACCCAATCAAAAACTAAAAATTTAAATTAACTCAAAAAATCATTATTTTATTCAAATAAATCCTAAAAATACTAATCAAGAGTAACAAATAAGTGCAATAAAATATGAGTTATCACCCCTCCAACCAAAATAAAGAAGGAAGCCCCTGTTGCTACTGAGAGCAAACAGGGAAAAAAGAAATCTCCTACCAAAGCTCCCCCTAAAAAGGGGGAACGTCCCAGTCAGAGGCTGAAGAGATCCTTCAGTAGCGCAAAAAGGACAGAGGGAGCATCCTCTGAGAAGCCCATCACCCTTTCTGTCAAGGAGGAGGACAGTGAGGAAAATGAGCCTATTGCAAAAAGGTTGAAGAAAAGAGGAACGTCAGAACCTACACCAGCCGCTAAGGAGACGTCCCCAAGTAGCTCTGCTACTTCTGAGTCCTCTGACGTTCCATCCCCTCCACCATCACCTGCTCATACTTCACCACCACCAAGAACACAACAACCCTCTCCTAGGCAACAACAAGGAGGGGGAATGAAAGAAACAGATGCAGCACTTGCTACAGAAGAACAAGTGGCTGAGCAAGAGGCTCAGCCACAAAAGAAACCTGACAAAGGAAAAGCGATTCTTGTTGAATCCCCTAAAAAGAAAAAGCCAACTGTGCCCAGGAAAATCAGCCTGGGAGGGCCCTTCTCTTGCCCCATTATTCGTCCTGATACTTCTAGGGACGAGGCCATTGCTAGGGCTCTAGCATAAGAAGAGGGCTTGGAAATTCCTCCACTGATGGGGGAACAAACTACAGCAGCCCCCTCTTCCTCCAAAACAAAAGAGGTTGTGATCAAGCAAGTACCTGAAGAACCTCCAGTTGCTGGAAACAACAACCAGAATAAGAGGAATAAGCCAGCCTCCCCTATTCCAGCAATACCCATTGCATCAAGGAGAAAATCTCAAATTGGGATTGCTGAGATTTTTGAAATGATGGGAAGGAAAATGGAGAAGCTGTTACCTGAAGCACCATGCGTTCCTCAGCTGGACATGACCAGCACTACTGAAAAGCTGAAGGCTCTAAGGAACGGACTAGAGCAACTCTCATCTGCCTTCATCAAATTCCAGGAACAACAGAAGGCAGATAAGGATCAACTTCTCAACACCATCCAAGCCAGCCTCAAAAGCATCAATGTTGCACCCTCTACACCTACCCTACAAGCTGTCAGGGAGGAAATCACAAATGCATCTGACTCCCTGAAGCTTGCTCATGCCATGCACAACACCAGAGCTGAAAAACAACTTAGAAGACTCTACCTCCAAAACACTGAAGAACGAACAGAAACTAAGGAAGCTCTCAAGGCTTTTGGAACATATTTGGAGGGGAGAATTTATCAGCTGGGAACCCGAGTGCTGGATATAGAGGGGCAACTGGTGCATATTCATAATGGTAGGATAATGATGAGATCCACTATTGACCACCTTGCTGTTGTAATCAGTGATCTACTGAAAGACGCTGAAAAGTGGCTTCCTGAAGCTGAAGTAAGAAGATTAAGAGATCAGCTTAGGAGAAGGCCACTTACATAGGAGGAGATTGAGGCTGAAAAGAACACCGAGTTGGGCAAGAGACGTCCACAGTGAAAAGGAGAAAGACCCTCCTATTTTGTTTATTTTTCATTTATTGCTTTCTGCAAGTTTACTTTTGTTTTTTTTTCTGTTCCGTAGTGTAAATTTAATTTCTTTTTGAAATAGAAAATCTTTTTTGTTCAAACTGTTTGGAGCATACATTTCAGTTATAGTATTGTGGCTGTAAAAATTTAGATAACCAATGGCATGAAACACAAAGTCAATGAGTAATCATTCTTTTTCTTACTCTGAATGCTTGAAATGGGAAAAGTGAAGTGAATTTAATCTTCAGATTTTTGAAGGATACTGATCTGTGTGAGCTAAAGTTGGTAAGGAATGAAAAATGTCAAACACTTACTCATGAGAGCGTTTCTGAGGTGTCACCACAATGAAACTTCTAAACTTGCCTTGTTGTTGTAAGTACTGCTGAAGAACATGTGAATTCCACTAACAAGGATCAACCATCAAACACTCACCTCATCACAATCAAACAGACGCTTCTATTCCCATTCATACCTCAGCACAACCACACACACTCATACACATCTCCAGGTCAACTAAAAAGGGCAAGGAGCAAATCCAAAATGAGCAAAAAGGACAAGAAGAAAGGAAACAAAGAAAATGGGAACAACCATTCAAAAGAATTCAGAAAAAAAATACCCGACAAGATCCCTCCAAAGGAAGAAAGGAAGGTACAAAAAGATAAGGTGTTCCCTCAAACAGAAAAGTCCAGCACTGAACTAGAAAAACTAAAACATGTTCTTTGACCCCAAGACCTATGACCATTCCATTTTAAACCCTTCCATCAATCTTTTCAACAAAGATCCCTTGAAATAAAAGACACATGCACTTCATAGGAAAGCAGCAGAGAAGCAAGTTTGAAGAATCACATCCAGGAATGGATAGAGAAACACCAAGCCTATAGTGATAGTGAGGCAGAAGATCAGCAACCTTCACTTATCTTGGAATAAATTCTTTCTACTTGTCATCTATGGAAAGTAGTTCATTCTTTGAAAACATCATGATTACTCACTGGCTCAAGTTTCTGAAGTTGAGCTATTCTTTGAAATTAAGCAGCCTAAGCCACTATTTCTGAGTTGTTTGAGGACAATCAACAATTTAGTTTTGGGGTGTTTGATGGGACGAAAATTCGTTCCTATCTAAGCCCATTTTGATGGAAAAATACCATCTGTTCCCTCATCTGATGAGCAACTTTAGCACTAAAAGCACATGTTTAATATCTTTATGACAAAAACACAGTGGGGAACGGATGGTGACGTAATCCTTTGAAAATATACCAAAAGGGGAACAGATTTGGAACATTAAATACACCTGCTCCACTAACTCAATCTCTCTGACCACTTTTCAGGAAACGTTGAAAAGAAGTTTCCATAAAGCATAATCGGAGCAGCAATCAAGCAAGAGGAAACGTGCGCAACAGGGAATAAACGATTCCTATTGGCTAAGAGGAAAGCAAGGCATGGAGAAAATCAAGAGGAAAGACAAATCTCAACAATAACTGTCTCATCCAGCCACTTGCGCCCCTCAAAGCACGGTTCACACCGCCCTTTTCAGGCAGTCAAGAAAACAACTACAAGGGAATTACGCATTTTGCCACTCGTTCTTCTGCCTATAAATAGGACGTCCCAGCAAGAAGAACAATATCGAATTCCTTAAGAAGAGATCACTTAGTTTATTTTGTAGTTTTTCTTTTGTATAGTTTTAGCTGTAGTTAAGTGACAAACCTTCTCCTTTATTCTATATCACCCACCTGAGACTCCTCACGAGCAGCAACCATATTCTCCATTTTTCATTTTCTTGTAACCTAATTTGTTTCCAATTAAATACAAGTGTTATTTGTCTCATTTCCACTCGTTATCTCTAAACTGAATCTCGGGTCTATGGGATTTCAGTTCAGAATAATTATGTTTAAAGTAGTAGCCATGGGCTAAACTATCTGTGGAACGGAAAAGCTGCAAAGTTCTTAAAGAATTATTTTCAAAACTTTTATACTGAGTTTTTGTATTTCTCTGGTTAAGTAAGCTATATTCATTGCGTATTAATGGAAATTGAACACATACTGAGAGAGAAACTTCCATAAGGAAGGGATTTCAGACAGCTTAACCTGAGAGGGAAGGCAATTTTGTGGAAACAATACTGCTGGTTGCCTTAGGAATAAGGGACCACCTCGTTCATTTGAAGGTTCTGTACTAAGTAACAATTGGAGTCAAGGGAGCCATAAGAATATGGAAAGTTGTGAGCCATTTAGTCCATGAGCTGAGGAATCAGAGTTGGCAGTTAAGAGACTGGAACAAATACAAAAGTGTTAAGTCTTGAGCAGAGAAAATAGCTATTTAAGAATGGAACAGTGAATCCGTTCCTTGTGTTAAAACTATTTTTAAACCATCCATCTTGTTGTCTCTTAATTACTGTTATTACTGTTGTTATTTTTGCTTTATTCAATCTTGTATCTACAAATCTCCAATGATTATTGTCGTGCCTTCTTTCACCAAGAAAGATTACATATATAACGACGCGAGGAGCTGTTTGCTGTCAGATTAAACCTACTGTTCTTGAGAAACGTTGTCAAGACAGTAAGGAACGTTTGAACAAACAGGTCAATTACTAACATTTCTTTTCATTTTCATTCTTTTTAAAATAGTTTAAGGCATTAATTAGAGCTACATCCTCGTGGGAACGATAATCTGGGCATTAACACTCCTATTTATTACTTGATGCGTGCACTTGGGTTGAAATTAAGAGAACGAATGTGTTTTCTCTTACTGAACTAAACAAAGGAACAACATTCATCATAATATTTTAATCAACCAACAAGGTTTTGACCCAACAGGCACCCCGTGAAGCCTCACGATATCGCAAACATCTAGCTTGGCCAACTGCTCTATAGAGAAGCTCACTTTAACCGGAAGAAAATGGGCAGACTTAGTCAATCTGTCCACAATGACCCAGATCGGGTCACAACCAGCCTGAGTCTGAGGCAGTCCCACTACGAAGTCCATGGAAATGCTCTCTCATTTCCATTACGGAATCTCAAGAGGTTGAAGCTTACCAGACGACTTCTGGCGTTCAATCTTTACCTTCTGACATCTCAAACATTTGGACACATATACCGCTATGTTCTTCTCCATACCCGACCACCAAAAATTTCTCTTCAAGTCCTGATACATCTTTATAACTCCAGGGTGGATAGTGAATCAGCCCTTTGAGCCTCTGTCAACACCCCTCTCGGTCAAAGGACCTCGAGGAATTACAATCTTCATCTGGAATATTATCAACTCATTTTTATTCCAAGACACACCATCTTAGTTCTTCACATAATTCAGACACTTTCTTTGCACTTGCGCCTCTTTGATATTCTCCATTAGCTCATTCTCTACTCTTATCGTCTTTATCTCGAGAAGTGCACCCCCAACAGAGAGGTCACTATCAGATCTTGAACTTCTCAATAACATCAAAATCGTCATTCGATTCTCTGGAATCACCAGTCACTTTATTAATAGAGGTGACCTGACCCTACATACTCTATATTCTATTCCTCACAATAACTTGGGTAAGTTTAGGTCCTATTCCATGACTGTAACCTCGACTTGACTTACAGTTTTATAAATCATTATTCTCCAAATAAAATCCTATTCCTTTCACAGTACGAAATCATAATCATGTTCATTTCAATCAATACATGTTGGCTAACATGCTAATTCACATAGTAATGTACCTTAGTTCACGTACACCTGCAAAATTTTCAATTCCAATAACATAATAAATCAAATACTCCATACAATCGTATACCTCAATCTCCATGGCATCTTACCTTTCATGCCAAACTTGGCATATCACTCTTCGTATATTTTACGCATCCCACCACTTGGTGTTTGGAGAGTATAAACTCATATTTCAAGTCTCCTTATGCATTACTATAACATGTGGCAAACTGAAATTGATTGATCTGTGCACCTCGTGCACCCGGGCCACCCGATGAGTCAAACTCAAATCGATGCCCTCATGGGACTTCCAAGAGTCAACACTCTTAGGATCCAATCCCCAAAGGAAAGCCCATGACATAGATTATCGGCCAAAGAACAATAAGGCATACCAGCCTCCTGTGTACCTCGTACACAAAGACC